AACAGTCGTACCTAGATGCCATGTGGTCACAAGGAAATGTTCCTTGAAGGTCCCACATAGCAATCTGAATTGTTTAAACAGGATTTGGGGAAAAATAAGGAGCAATTGCTATTGTTTTAAATGGCAAAATACCTGGCACATAGCATGTATTTAATAAATGGCATTTAAATGTGGTTGCTAAAATTTGGGGTAGGATAATGGTTGATGATTTCACAGTCTAGTAATAGAAAGTGGTCAATTAGATTCAGTTGGAATATGGCTAAAACAATTACATTTAATTAGTACCAGTACAGCTTTAGGGTGAACATGGCAGCTGCTCAATTCTTCCTCTTTTGGTTTTTCCAAGGATTAAGAGTGGATGAGTAAAAAATCATTTATTAAGCAGTTATGTATTGGGCACTGGGCTAAGTAAGTATATAGTTACACAATATGTAGGTATATATGTGCATAGATATATACATACACACATATAATATCAAGCACAATATATTACATATAAGACATAACATACAAATATATAAATGGACTCTGTGTATGTATGTGTGTGTACATATGTATGTATATATCTATGCATGTATGCCTACCTCTGGGTTAGACCCTAGGGAAGGAGCTCCAGAGTGCCCAGGTGTGTTGATGTGCTGACTGTAGCCACAGGGATATGTTCCTTCGTCACTGAAATTACAGCTTTCATCTTTTTTGCAGAAGCCCAGAACTTTTTTCTCTGTCTTGTTATACAGCTAATAGCATTGTTGAACACATTACTACTTATAAATTGCTACCATATATGCCAGTAATGGCTAACAAGTCTCTACCATACTTGATGGCTTCTGTCTGTTTCTTGTGGAGAAAATATGTGCCAAGCATATTGTTATAGCTCTACTTTTCTACTTTTATATCAGCTGTAGCTTTAGAGTTAATGAAACTGTGATGGGTATCAAATAAATAGATTCAACTTTTATCAGTTTCAGTTTTAATATAATTCAGTGTGTAATCATTTTACTGTCAACCTTAAAATGAAAGCAATTGTCTACCTATTTGTGAGAGTCTACAGTATGTTCTCTGAAATCTGATGACAATGATCTTTTGGTGATTAGAGATATGACAAAAAAGTATTATTAACAATTCATAATGACTGCATGTAGATTCATATCTACAATTTTGTGTTTGCCCTCAGCTGAAAAATCATGTATTTATTTTCTATGTCCTTAGGCTTGTGTATAAATATAACCACATATACTTATTGTACATCTTAATCTTCTTTACTATTATCTTTTGTATAATGGTGCACTTTTTAGGGAACACCAATTGTTATCTATCTCTTTGCTACTTAAGGTGATCTTGGAACAATTTCCATACATTTATGGGAATGAGTCATTCAGTTATTTGTTGCCTTTCTTCTTTAAACTTCCTCTTACTTCAGTCACAATGATATTATCAATACATTCACTTAAAATTGATGCAATTTTGAAAACTCTAACACCAGGTATGCTCACACACACACACACACACACACACACACACACACACACACACACACACACACAAGCTAGTAATTTCTGTTCCCAGTTTCAAGAGTACTGTGTTTTTGTCTTTCTATAACTATTTTCTTAGAACTGAATATATATGTATACACACATACACATGCATACTCACACATATATATGTATGTGTGTATGTATATATCTCACCTTCCTCTTAGAAATCTTTTTTAAAAGAATCTTGATTTGTCTTCAGTGGGTGGTAAAATGGCTTACACAAATGGACAAATTACTATTGATAGTCATTTGGTATATGCCTATTATGTGTCTAGAATTGTTTTAGAAATTACGAGTCACAAAAAAATTAAAAGGCTCATTTTATCTCAGACTGTTAAAGCCTTAAGGTCAATGCTAAGTGATGGCTTTTTGGGTACCTATTTGAAACAGTCTAGAGGCTTGAACTGTTACATACATTACCAATCGTCTTATTTTAATCTATTCATATGTTATAAAATTTATTATGTAAAAATTTGATTCCCTTGTAGTAGTATATATCCTTCCTTTCACATAGAAATTTTAAATCATTAGCATGATAAATAGAAAAAAGAAAGATAAATATGATACAAGAACACATTCTAATTTTACAGGATTACATTTAGCCAAAGAAGAAAATAGAGTCTATAAAGATTCTGTAAACCTTAAAACTCTGGGCTCAATGCTTATTCCTAGAAATTCAAGCATAAATACACACATGACCCCTTGACCTCCCTCAAAAATGGCTGTTAATGCCTCACCAAGGTTTATAACCCAACTTTTTAGTGACAGATTTGAAAGGCATTTTTTTTTCTGCTGAATTACTAATAGGGAAATATGAGAGTGTTTTTTTTAAAGCAATTATGCTGAATCATTGCAATGACAGTAGAGTTTCTCTATGTCCTTTACATGTATTCTTTCTCATATATAAGCACATCTCTATCTCTCTATACAAGATATGCCAAAAGTCTTAGTGCAGTTCATACAGTTTAACAACTGTATGAACTGCACTAAGACTTTTGGCATACCTTGGGATAGCTTCAAGTCACAACAAGGCTCTTCTAGAAAAGTTCCACTCCGGAGCGATCCTGAGCAATTGAGATGAAAAGTTTATTGTCCCCAAGGGCTGTATTACCCTAAGCTCCTTGCCTTTAGCCTTAAGCTTTAATACTGCACTAAGACTTTTGGGAAACCCTGTATCAGGTGTAGTGTAGAGCTTTGTGAAATAATGTCGGGTAAGTGGAATTTTTTTCCCCTTGAGAGTTCTATATTCTCAATGAAAATTGCAGTTACTTAACCAGTTCTGCCTATTTTAAGCCACTTTACAATATTTTAAGGGCATCTAGGTGGCACAGTGGATAGATTCTGGGCCTAAAGTCATGAAGGCTCATCGTTCTGAGCTCAAATCTGGCCTCAGATACTTACTAGCTGTGCGAATCTGGGCAAGTCACTTAACCTTGTTTGCCTCATTTTCCTTGTCTGTAAAATGAACTGGAGGAGGAAATGGCAAAATGCTCTAGTATTTTTGCCAAGAAAATTCCAAATGGGGTCACGAAGAGGCGGACACAACTTAAACAACTCAACAACTACAACAATTCTTTTGAAATGATTTTTCTTTCAAAGAATCTTTGAGGTTTGTTATGAAACATTATATTTGTTAAATTCAAAAGAGGAAATAGAAGGACCAGAGGAATATATTTTGTTTACTGACATGCATTATATCAATCATGAGTCATAGATGGGTGCACAGACTTCTGATACATGGACAGAGTTTCATGCTTTATAGAGTATTCCTGCTCTAAGAACGCAGTAACATCTTGTTACTTCTTCCCCCACCCCAAACTCCTTTAATGGAGATGTCAGTTAACAAAGAATGAAAGATATTTAAAAGGTAATTATGAATCTTTTTAAAAAAATTTTTTTAGGATAGGCAATGGGCTAAGTGACTTGCCCAGGGTCACACAGCTAGTAAGTGTTATGTGTCTGAGGCTGGATTTGAACTCAGTTCCTCCTGAATCCAAGGTCGGTACTCTATCTACTGTGCCACCTAGCTGCCCCATAATTATGAATCTTTCATGTAAATTGTATTGAATTTTTTTGGGTGTATCTTAATAGAGCAAAAGAGGAAGAACATTATTGTATTTACTATTTCTTAATGATTTAAGTAGAATAAAATATTTAAAAATTAAATTCTTAGAATAAATGACTAATTTTAAGTTTTCCAGAAAGCTTGTTTTAATGGTATGACCTTGATTCCACCCAATCTATGAAAATGGAGTTTTATTTTGATAGAAAATAAAGTTCCTTCCTTACATTCTATATAATGTCACAGGAGTTCTAATTTGACTTTCTAAAGGCCTTTTGGAGAATGGGATAATAAAAACATTATCACTGGAAATCTTTGACTTAAAAAAATGGTCCAGTACTTTCAGAGGTTCCCAAAGTGGGTGACACTGCCTCCTGGGGGGCACTGGAATGATCTAGGGAGGCAGTAGTAGCCTCAGGTACAATTGGGGAGCATTGAATAGGGGGGAGGTGGAAGCATAAGGAGAGAAGAAAATGTTGAAAAACTGTTCACACATGTTTCATTCATTGCGTAACAGAGTTAAAGTTGCAGTGATTACATTATTTTCCAAATAAACACACAAAATACATGTTATAACCAATCAGTGGTCAAGTCCGCTGATAGGTCTTAACAAGCAAGTACTGGCAGGCAAACATGTCATGCATTGTTGGGAAGTCCAGTACGTATTTGCAGGAATACCTGTGTGTGATGACATGTTTTATAATATGTTACTATACAGTTATATGAAACAATCATCAAAATTTCAGTGTAGGAAAAAACCCCACAAATTTATAATAAATTATTAAATTTAAGATGTGTTACTTAAAAAAAATTATGCTTTTTTGAAATGATGCAAATAAAAAAATTAAAAGGTTAAAGAAAGTAGATTTCTGGCACTGAGTAATTTTTTTTTGGAAAAGGGCGTGGTAGGCCAAATAAGTTTGGGAATCTCTGGATAGCCTAACCTCAATGATTATTTTTTGTTATAGTGGTGTTTTACCTTAATAATGTATAGTATTTAAGCATTTCCCTCTTTTAAAATTGATATTTAGATACCTATGAAGGGAATGAATAGCTCAAACAATTGGTATTGAGCACAGAGACCTTTAGTTTTGGTTTGTCACTTCAAACTAAGTTGGAAGCAACTTATGGTTAATATCATTTCAAGGTTGTTTGATGACCTTTGCAAAGTAATTTATTTCTGGAGGATAGGAATCCTCTTCTAAAGAAAATACCACAGCCTGATATTAACACTCTTGCTGACAGTGTCAAGAAAAGGAGACTCAAACAGACTCAAAGGAAAGAATTAGCAAAGATTAAGAACTCAAGCTTTCTCCTAAACATAGTGGTGTTATTTAATTTTTAATTCAAACACTGAGTTAGTATACAAAAGAACTGATAAAAAAAAGTGAACAATAACTTACTTTTTGTGACAACACCTTCCAGGTGAATGATGTTTGGATGGTCAAATTGTCCCATGATACTAGCTTCTCTTAGAAAATCCCTTCTTTGCCTGTCCATGTGACCACCTTTCAAAGTTTTGATAGCAACTGGGATCTCTCTTTTTCCTGGTGTTTTCAAACGGCCACTGCAAACTTCTCCAAATTCACCTTGAAATTAGAAAAGGATTTTAGATAGAGTGTCAATATTTGAGAAGAATTGCAGTTTTAGTGCAATTTCCTTCTTTTAATAAACATGACTCCTCCCCAAAGGTATCATTTTCACATGAAGAAGTTTAAAAAAAAATTGTGAAGCTCAGCTGCACTGATAATGAATTACCATGGAATAAATGTGCAAAAGGGCAGCTAGGTGGTATAGTTTACAAAAATGAAGAAAATTTTAAAAAAAGCCAAAAGCTGTTAAAAGGGCTAAAGAAAGTAGATTTCCAGGGGGGCACTGAATAAGTTTTTTGAAAAAGGGGCAATAGGCCAAATAAGTTTGGGACTAGGCCTGAAATAAGAAAGACTCATCTTCCTGAGTTAAAATCTGGCCTCAGACACTCACTAGCTGTGTTGACCCTGAGCAAGTCACCTAATGCTTTTCACCTCAGTTTCCTTATCTATAAAATGAGCTAGAGAAGGAAATGGTAAGCCACTCCAGCACTGTAGGCAAGGAAACCCCAAATGGGGTCACAAAGAGTCAGACAAGAGTGAACAGCAGAACAAATAAGTGTTGTATTGCAGTGTATCTGCTGGTAATGGATATTCTTGAACAAGAAAACTGTTATAGCCAACACAGTAGATGATGCTAGTGATAACCAACAGAAAAAAAATATTAGTATGTAAACTTTTTTAGTCTGCTATTACTATCAACTTATCAGTCAAATACATATTTTGTTAAGAGAATACATATGCCCAGATTTTTCTCTGCAAGTAGGTCATCTCTGAATTTCATTTACCTGTAAGAAAGGAATCTTGAGATCATGCATCCTAAGACGATAATTAGGATCATGCTTAACATTAGAAGGACCAGAATTTAAGAATACTCTGAAGGTCCAAGCTATGTTAATTGATGCAGTGTATGTTTTTATCCATAAGACAATGAAAATAAAGATAATAGGAGGAATTTTTAAAATCAGTTGACATGCCTGGTTCTTCTGGTTAACTCATTCATGATTATCTGACTAAATGACAAGTCACATGTCTGCAAATAGGAAGCTCACCGATATAAGTTATGAATTTTCTTTGGCTTCACTGTGTGAAAACTGCTTTGAGGATTTACTATATTTATTAACAAATATCTCTGAAAATTCATGTCAAACTATCTTCTTGTGTACACAAGGTTCCTGGTGATGGTGACCTAAAATTAAGAGTAAGATGGCTAAGGTGTATATAGAGGACATATATGGCAAAGGTGTAAATAATAAATCCTGATTATTGGGAATCCTTTTTTCCCCTTATTGAGTTCTCATTTAGTTCCCCTTAGATGTAGCTCTCTGCTGAACTCCATAGAATTTCTGCATCTCTCAAGGGGTCCCTTTCCTTGTTGTTTTTAGTATGTCATTGGTGTGTCTCTCAGCTCCTGATGCAGATTCTACCATCAACCAGGGGCACTACCATAATGCTAATGGGAGCTCCAGGTCTTATAACCTTTTGAAGTTAATCACATGGCCAATAGATTTTTCTCTCTTCTCTTCTCCTTTCTTTCCCACAAAAGGGTGATTCCCTCTCTGGATTCCTGTATTACTGGATTTGATCATCACAGCTTTGAATTTCGTCTACTTTGCTGTTTTTAAGTGCCTCCCCCCCCATAACTGATTCTTATCAATATATTTCCTGTGTGGCATTATCTGCTTTTTTATTCAATGATACAAATCACATTGATTAAGGACTTATGCAAGCCTCATTTACTCTGTGATTATAATAATTAAGGTAGGGATGAAAACCCCCACACCTTACTGACCGAACAAACAGTTTATGTACTGGGGCAACATGTTTGAATAGGCAAGGAGGGGCCTGGTAAACAATGTGGGAAATGAATTTCATGGCTAAATAGGCATGTTTTATTTAGGAATTTTTTCAGGAGTGAATTATGTGCATGTAAAGCAATTAGTATCTGTACTTTCTCCTATGCTTTTTTTTGTATGTTTCTTTTGATATTTTTAAAATAAAGGCAGTAAAATGAAAAGAAACAAAAATTAACATAGTGATTAATTTTGTTAAATAACATTAGTTAAAAGTCTGGTGGAAAGGAGTTTGAAGGTCATGGGCTCCAAGTTAGGTTTCTGATTTACTATGGAGAACTTCAACCCTATTAGCACAGATGAATGAAAGTTTTCTAAAGTCACCTGGAGGTCTAGTATGATGTTAGCATATAAAAGAAAAAAAAGATGCAAACTAATGTAATGGTAAATGCAGAAAGAAAAATAAAGAAAGCTGCATAATTACAAAGCTTATTATAATTACATACAAGGATAATATACTTGTTAGTTTTCAAAATGTCAAGAAATATAGACAAATATATAAACATACACAGATATATCTTTGGCCAGACATGATTAAGTTTTCTAGCACTTCAGTACAAAGGTGCTCAAATTTTCTTCTTTTTAAAAAATAATTAATTAATTTATTTCTAGTTTTCAACATTCACCTTCATAAGATTTTGAGTTTTGAATTTCTCCCCCACTCTCTTCCCCTCCCAAAGATGGTGTGCAATCTGATATAGGCTCTATGTATATATTCATATTAAATATGTTTTCATGTTAGTCATGATGTAAAGAGGAATTAGAACTAATGTGAGGAACCATGAGAAAGAAGAAACAAAACAAAACAACAGAAGAAAAGGAGAGCAAATAGTATGTATCCATCTGCATTCATACTCCAAAGTTCTTTCTCTGGATGTGGATACCATTTTCCATCAGGATGCTTTTGGAGTATTCTTAGATCCTTGCATTGCTAAGAAGAGCTAAGTCTATTAAGGTCAGTCATCACACAATGTGGCTGTTACTGCATACAATGTTTTCCTAATTCTGCTCATTTCACTCAGCTTCAGTTCATGTAAGTCTTTCCAGGTTTTTCTGAAGTCCACCTGCTCATCATTTCTTATAGCACAATAGTATTCCATTATATTCATATAGCCATTTCAGCCATTCCCCAATTGATGGGCATCCTCTCAATTTCCAATTCTTTGCCATCACAAAAAGAGCTGCTATAAATATTTTTGTACATGTGAGTCCTTTTCCCATTTTTGTGATCCCTTTGGGATATAGCCCTAGACATGGTATTGCTGGGTCAAAGGGTATGCACAATTTTATAGCCCTTTGGGCATAGTTCCAAATTGCTCTCCAGAATGTTTGGATCAATTCACAACCACATTAACAATGAATTAGTGTTCCAGTTTTCCCACATCTTCTCCAACATTTATGATTTTCCTGTTTTGTCATGTTAGCCAATCTGATAGGTGTGATGAGGTACCTCAGAGTCATTTGGTTTGCATTTAGAGCATTTTTTCATATGATTATAGATTGTCTTTCTCTCCATCCTATTTTCCCCCTGTTTATGCTTTTCCTTTTTCTCTGTTTCCTCACTATAGTTTGGCTTTCAACCACTGCCTCCCTCAGTCTGTCCTCCCTTCTATCAGCCCTCTCCCTTTTCTTCCCCTTTACCCTTACCACTTCTCCCCTCCCTTTTATCCATCCTCTCCTTCTTCTTTCTCCTTTGCCCTCTTCCTTCCTATAGAGTAAGTTAGATTTCTAACTCATTATGTTATTCCCTCTTTGAACTAAATCTGATGAGAGTAAGGTTCAAATAATGCTCATCTCCCTCCCTTCTTTCCCTCTACTTTAATAGGTTTTTGTGCCTTTTCATGTGATACAATTTACCCTCGTCTGTTTCCTCCTTTCCATGATATTGAAATTGTTTCTTTCTGGCTGCTTGTATTATTTTCTCTTTGATCTGGTAATTTTAGAATTTGGCTACAATATTACTTGGCATTTTCAAATTGGTATCTCCTTTAGGAGGTGATTAGTGGATTCTTTCAATGATTATTTTATCTTCTGGTTCTAGGACCTCAGGGCAATTTTCCTTGATTATTTCCTGAAAGATGCTGTCCAGACTTTCTTTCCCTATCGTATTTTTCAGGTAGACCAATAATTTTTAAGCTGTCTGTCTTGGATCTATTTTCCAAGTCAGTATAAAACACCAATGAGATATGTCATGTTTTCTTCAGCTTTTACATTCTTGTATTTCTGTTTGACTGATTCTTGATATCTAACAGAGACTTTAGCCTCCACTTGCCCAATTCTAATTTTTAACTAATTTTTTTCTTTTATTAGATTTTGTGCCTCCTTTTCAATTTGGCCCATTTTACTTTTTAATGACTTGCTTTCTAAAGTCAATTTCTGTGCTTCCTTTTCCAAGCTATCTCTCTTACATACCTCTCATTTCTTTTTCCCAATTTTTCTTCTACCTCTCTTAATTGATTTTTAAAGTCCTTCTGGAGCTCTTCCAAGAAAGCTTTTTGGACTTGAGACCAGTTCATTTTCCCCTTTGATGTTTTGAATGTGGGCATATTGACAATGTTGTCCTCTTCCGAATTTGTGCCTTTATCTTCCCTATCCCCAAAATAAGAATGAATGGCCATTGCCTTTTTCTGATTTTTGTTCATGGTGTTTGCCTAATCCCTAACTTTTAGAGTTGAGCTGTCCTGCTGGAGCACAGGGGTGGTGACCCAAGCTTCTTCTTCTGGTGTCAGGGGCCTGCTCACTGGCCTTGTGTGCTTAGGCCTCAGGTGCTGGCAATTGGAGGCTGTAGGGGTCTGGCAGCTTTCCTCGGCTGAGCTGGGGTCAACAACACTGGAGCTCTTGGGGTGGGTGTGGGGAGTCTGACCTGCTCACCCGGGCCTTGAGCTAATATGTTTGGCTGCTGCAGGATGTCTTACAGCCTGGAGGTGTGCCTTCTGGAGTTGTACTTCCTGGAGTTGTGCTGAAGCACCGGGAGATTTGGCTGCTGGAGAATGCCAGTGCACGTGGTGGTTTTCAGAGCTGGTGTTTACTGGTTCACCTGTCTATGCTGAGGCACTTGGAGGGTAGGGAATCCTGGTGTTGGCACTTGCTTGCTCCACCATTCTGGGGCTCAGGATCTCCTCCTGGTTTGTTGAAGCAGGACTTGCC